CAGCTCGATTGACGTACGCGGTAATGCTCCATCTATCCCCTTTCCAAGGAAGAACACAGTGAAAACGTTTGGGATCGAACTTCACAAGTTTGTTGCGGGAGACACGTTTCTTGCCATACAAAGTCTTCAACCCTACCTTCTGAATAATGACATTGTGCTCTCCCTTTCGGGCAGCGGGGTCGTGAATCCAAAGTTCACCACCTTCGAAGCTGCCAAGACTGATAGTGAAGTTGGTGGAATCTTTCATGTTGTGAGCATCCTTGTGAACCTTAACAGACGAACCGTGATTGATGCAAACCGATGAGCAATCTCCCGTCATTCCATGATTCTGGAGGAATGCATTGATATATCGGGTAGAATGGGCATACTTCTGCGTACGGTTAGTAATGCCCTGGACGCCACCATGAGCGAAAGCGCCAAGCACAAGATACTCGACGTTTCCGTCGGTGCGACCCTCGTTGTTTGTAATTGACTTACGATTGCTCTTGGAGGGCTTGCAGTTCATAGATTGCAGTAGCTTCAGACAAGACTTACACTGGAAGTCAAGGTTCTCAAGTAACTCTTTTGCAATTCTCTCTGAATCCTCAACACACTTGCCAGGCTTCTCAACCGGCGATGCAGGAAGGCTGGGCTCCGGACGTGGTCGCGCGGGAAGCGCAACGTTTTCCTTCCAAGACTTCAGGTAGGGAACGTTGTCCTTCACATCGAGATAAACCTTGTTCCCGTTGTGATCCCTGAAGTAGGGTCTACAATTAGCTCTCCAGATAAAGTCAAACCCTTCCTCCATGCACTTCTGTCCAACCGAGAGAACGGATGGTGAATCGGGTAGAACATATGGTTCGGCGGTCGTATTGATCGAAGGAATCCTAACCTTGCATTGTTTGTCAGCATAGTTAGGTCCGTTGGCGGTAATCATGTTGATAGGCCGATCCGACAAGAAATCCTTTACATCACCGAGAACGTTTTTCGATATCAAATCCTGGGCACTGCCAGTGTCGGCAATCCATTCCATTTCAATCACAGGATCTGACCTGCTCCCCTTTGCTGGGCATCCGACAGATATGCCGGGCGCAATGCAATGAGCACAACCGAACTCAGTCTTACACATGAACTTACATGCTGGATTCGTACCTTGGTTCATACCTTCAACGGTTGACCTCAGCATCTTAGCTGTCGCCAAAGCACCCCGAACATCCTGCCCATCAGGTTTGGGCTTGTAGTTAACAGGAAATTCTTCACTGAAAACCCTCGGCTCGATTTCAACCTCACGCCACTTGGAAGATTCAGGGGGCGTGGGAATGTAGTGATACTCAGGAGCATTCGAGAATCGCACAGATGCCAGAGCAACGTGAGCGGTGCTTGCACACGAGTCAATGTAGTTCGGCATTTCCTTCCGGAAAGCGTGTGCATCGGCTTGGGATGCCGAACCTGCAACAAGTGCGCCTAAGAGGCAGACGGCGGCAGGAAGCGAAGCCTTAGGTTTCCGCCCCCCCGAGCCCTTGCTGTTCCCAGAGCCTTTGCTCCCCTTGGAGCCTCCACTACCCTTGGAACTTTTAGAGCTGGAACGAGACTTCTTCCTATGCTTCTTTTCTTTCTTCTGTTTCTTACTCTTCTTTTCGCCGCTAGACTCTCTACCGCTACCAGTGGCAGGAGCAGAAGGCTGGCCTTTGTGTATGAAACGGCACTTGTCACCCTTGTTGCATTTGCCGTGCTTGAAGAATTTGCACTCGGCATTAATCTTCCCAGGAGATGGGCTCCCCCTTCCGGAGGGCGACTTGCCTCGGCCTTTACCTTTGCTTGGTGTCCTACCACGTGGCTTCTCGGGTATCTGATGCTTATAGGAACATTTTTCTTTGTTGCACGAACCGTTCCGAACAAAGTCAATGCAGAAGCCTTTGGGCACACGCTTTAGCGGTGCGGGTGCCGATGGCATACCTGCTGCGGCCTGCCTTGCAATCCGTTCCCGGTTGCGCTCAAGCCGTTTGATCTTGATGACCCGGTTAACGGCATTGTACAAATACTCATAGGATTTCTCCTGTGTTCCGTCTACTGCCCTTTCATAGATGGCGATGTCGTGCGCCAAAAGCTTACACTTCTTAACCTGTCTATGAAACAAGGGTTGCAAAACATCGTCAGCAGGTGCTTTCTTCATGCCTGAGAGAACAGTGTCCCAGTTACGCACGAATTGCACGAGGTTTTCGTTAAGCATGACGACATTGAGCAGATCCTCCATATCGTACACAGACCCGTGGAGTGCGTTGGTCGACAAATAAGCATTGAGCTTATGCAGAATTTGACGGCCACGAACTAAGCGCCCTTCGTGCCCTTCCCTCTCTTTAAAAGTGTCAATCTGGCGAGCAAAATCACCTTCCAGAATGTTTGTGATTGCCGAGAGGATCTTCGCATCAAGCGTTGTGAATCCGCTAGGATCACGAAGGGACTCTTCCGTGGTATCATCCTTCCACACTTCACCGAGCCACTCGAAAGCCTCATCGGGACGGTCAGAGGCGGCGACCACAGCCTCGCGTGCGCGAAGCCTCCAGTTACGATAGTTCTCTGGCTGGGGAAACTTCGGAAACACAATCTTCTCACCTTAGGTCTTCCCCTTGTCGCCTCGGTTTCCTCGTCATCGTCCTTGTCTTTCTTAGACTTAACGACTTTCTTGAACATCTTCAGGAGGTCCTTTTTAGATAGGGAAATAGACGACGATGATGATGAATCAGATGAGTCTCTTTTCTTTTTCTTCTTTTTGTCCTTTTTCTTTTTCTTCTTCTTGTCACGGGAATCGTCTTCGGGCTCATCCCCGTCGCCGTCGCTTTCGGGAGGCGAGTCATCTCCACCTCCACCTCCGCCTGGCGGACCACCATCTACTTTACCCAGACCCGGAGGGGTATGAATAGGGTGTTCAATGGGAGACTGATCTCCTACGGCAGTTGGTGAATATGCCGTGGCTTTCGCCAGGCGATCACGAAGCTCCGCATTGGTGCGCTCAAGCTTCGTCATCGACTCAGCCTGTTGGCGATGCACTTGCATGAATGCACCCATCTCAGACTTGAGTTGGCTTAGTTCGCCATTCATGACTGCAACGGTGTCTTGGCTAGCCCGACTTCGATTAGCCAACTCTCTTTCAGCTTGGGCTACAACGTCGGAGACTGTAACCTCAGCCTGATGAAGCCTGAGCTTGTAGTCAATGGCTTCACGTCGCATCTGCGACAACTCGTCGCTGTGTTTATTAGCCATGCTTTCGCCGGCTGCTCGAAGCATTTCTTCTTTCTGTTGCAGACGACTCTCCGCTTGGGCAAACTCCAACCGAAGTTGGGCAGCACCGGATAGCGCCTGTGCATGAAGCTGGTTGAATTGCTCCCTATGCAAATTGTTTGCTTCTGCCATGATCAATCTGTGGCGTGCTTCAGCTTCAGCTGCAACGGCTGGTCCTGTGTCTACTTGATGCACATGGACTGCTTGTTGCACCGTTGGCGCAAGGACATTTTGTTGATAGTAGTTCGCGACGTTTCTGATCTCGCTGGGTGAATATTGGGCCGTATTATATTGTTGAGGCGATCCCGCCAGGGATGCGAGTTGGTGCGCTGGGCTTGAGACATAGGCCCATTCTGACACCGCTCCTGGTGCACCTCTTCGGGGATCTGTTTGGGCCATCACGGCCAAGGTCTCTGCCGTCAGAGGAACAACTTGGCCACCCTCTCGGGTACCGGGGACAACCTGATCCGTGCCATCGTCTTGGACGGACATGGCAGGAAGAGAATTGAGATCCTCGGTATCGACGCGAGCCGCGGAAATGTCTATCGCGGGAATACCTGCAGGATTTACGGGAGCATCCATCGCGATCTACAAACGAAGTGAGACCTACGGCTGATAACCTATGTTTACAGGCAGAACAGCCAGAATGCAGACGCATATTTTCTTGAGCCAATGAATGACGGTAGGTGCAGTTGACTAGCTACATCTTCCACAAAATACAGGGACTCCAAGCTTCGATGTTTTCGGGTTTAGGGCTTTGGACGAATGTTGTATTCGCTGGGGTATGTTACGGGCCGCCGTCATTAAGACCGCCTCACATGCTATTTCAGTTCCCACTCGGAGGCTTCGACGGCTTCGTAGACTCCCATGTCGAGGAAGGTGAGAGCCTCGCGGGCTCTGCAGCCTGACTTGGCTTCGGTGTCCTGAAAGCTCTGAGGTATAGCATCCCTATAGAAGCGGAACAGATCCTACCACTGATGGCAGAAACGTTAAGTTGCGACTTTGCGTGGAGCTGTGCCGCTTCTGCCTCTTGCTGAGCGTTGGGGCTAATCTTCGAAAACCTTAATGCACCGTTGTCTTCGGCTGCTTGGAGCGTCGGTCTGAGAAGATTATGGATTTGGATTTGGGGTTGGGAACGGAGGTGGTTTTTGGAGTTAGCCTCGAGGGGGCATCCGGGCTCTTGTTCAGGAGAGAAACAGATTAGAGTTACGGGAACATAGATAATCGAATAAATCGGATTTTGGACATGGTGACTGTAAATGCCTCTTGGCCTTTGTCCCACGCATCGCCCCGTTCAATCGATGGTCTCTGACTACACTCCGTGAAACAATCTCGGGGTCTCTCATGCCTGCACTAGACATGCCAAAATCCTCTAGCTTGATCTGCATGTAGGTCACGGGCTTAGTTGAGGACCAGGGCTTACAGACGACACCACACACGACAGCAGCAGCAATGCCAATGCCGATGATTAATATGACGACGACTAAGAACATGCTGATGAGCATTGCATCATCATGATCATGGATATGATGATGCTGCTGCTGATGATGATGATGATGAAGGAAATGACAACAGTGGCATACAATATACATCACCGCCGATTTAAATGCATGGTCATGCAACCACCACCATCATGCTGCGATCATGTTCATCTTAATTTCTCCACCATGGCGTCAACAATGCCAAGTCACCAGAGCCACACGCTCAGGACACCCCAAGACTATGAAAGCCCACCGCTGCCCTCAGAGCTGCATCCGGGTCTTCGAAGCAGGCCTCGGACCCACCTGCTTCTGTCGAAGGTGTTCTGCCATGGCTTTCTGGATTGTGTATGGGTCTGACTTTGACACAATATGAACAATGAGCATGTACGAAGTGTGTGACGCTTGAAAGCTAAGAAAATCATGAACATATAAACAGCACGAAGTCGAAGTCGACAGACAACAAGCACAACACAAACGGAGGACCAACAACAACCTTCTCAATCGTACGAAGCATCGTGTAATACTTCTCGCAGATCAACATAATTAGCGCCATCCTTTGCCTGCTTATCTCGCGAGTTGCGAACCCGAAAAAAGTGAAACATGTCACTCGGATAGCAACAGCATCTCCCAACAGGTTGCCAGCTGAGATATGATATTTGTCTGCGTTTTAGCTTCAAACATCGGGGTTCCCTGGTTTCTATTTTGTGATAGCTCCATATAACAGATAACATGAAGTCATCTGAGAACCCCTTCAAACATAGTTGCGACGCACTATACGGCCCTGAAGTTGAAAGCCCAGTCGAGACAGAGGCGACACTCTTAAGTGGCTTGGTGTCCCCTAAACCCTAAACCCCTAAAACCCCCAAACCCTACCGAAACTTTCCCCGACCGAAGCCCTAGAATGTCCGAATGTCCGGGGAGTCATAGACTACTGGGAACCTTTGGATCCTCTGGATTTGTCGGATTTAGGGTATGATCTCAGACGTCGCCTATCTTCAAGCACGGCCGTCCCGGGTGCCCCGAATAGCAATCAATCTAAACGAACATGTATATACAAATATACACATATACGTGCGTGCATATATAGAGAAAGATACAGACCCATACCTCATAACTCACAAAAACAGAGACGCCTCGCGCAAGGAGCCGGACGAGGGTGCGCCCCAGGCGAGGCGCTTTGGAAGAGGACCCCCGGGCCTCCGAGCACAAGGTGGATCTCTGGCTTCACGGACGGGGCCTTAGGGCTCCTTTCAGGCTCCAGAGTCCTAAGTATGTGGTTCCTTTAACGGGACTATAAGGGCTACTATAAGGCATCTATAAGGGTACTATATTTATTATTAAGGCCCCTATAGTAGGGCTCCTTTCAGGCTCCGGAGTCCTTAAGTACGTAAAAATGAAGAACCTGATTAAGAAACCCTGGGCCTGTAACCCCCAAATAGTAGGATTCGTATAAGGAATCCTAATAAAGGCCCAAGGTTTCCTGATCAGGTTCCTACATGATAGTGGACTGTAGTCTATATTAGGATGTTGCTTATCTGAATTAGGAACTAATTGTTATGATCTGGGAAGTATCCCCCACAACAGTAACCTGTGGGAGGGTAACCCATCCAAAACCGTACACCCTAAACCCTAATCCTGGCGGAAACCCTCAAAATAACCCTTGGGGGTACCTTAACCCCGAATGGCCTACCGTTTTCAGGACACATATACTCTCATGCCACGCCTGGCCTTGCGATGGGCCCAGAGTTTTGCACCACAACCACCGGGCGCATTGGCCTGGCGGTTTAGTCTTAGGGGTCTCGGGTTTAGGGTGAAAGGCCGAAAGGTTTTCGGCAGACTTAGCAACTAGGGTTGTAAGCAAGACAACTAGAGTTCTACTTTAGTACTTAACCCCAACACCGTTTATGATCGTCTGAGCTACTCAGTAGAGGATCACAACTGCTAGGCCCAGAAGGCCGGAAACCCGCGAAGCACCAACCGCAAAACCCGAAAACAACAACAAAAACACTATTTCCCCAGAAAACTAGTGCATCAAGGTCTGTCGCAAAGGAGGAACCACACAGTACCTCGAAATCCTGGAACCCACAAGTATATGCCGTAAAGCCTTCTGTTGAACTAAAACTCATCGAAGTCCCCGGCAAGCTTCTGCCAAGCTTCGGTGACAGCGACCGCGTTGTTCGCATCGCCGTCAGCGGCTCCTTAGAACAGCCCTTTCTGGCTTCAGGATTGAGGGATTATGGGTTTGAGGGTTACACGGCTTTTTGCTTTCGGGGGCTTGGGGGTTCGCGGGTTTGGAAGCTCAGAGGCTTGGGCTGATAGGGATTACAAGCCTCGGGGTGCTTTTGGACTTGAGAGGTTATACTGCGCGGGGTCTCGCATCATGGTCTGGATTCCGAAACCTATCAGAATTGCAAGTAGTTTGAGGCTTAGGTTACAGTCAAGGAGTTTAGCGTTGTTGCGAGCCTTGAACCCCAACTCATCGTAAAGCTGAGAGGGCGAAGTGTTCTGCCTTTGGTCTACTTTACATGCCCTTGACAGTTGACTGCTACTAAAACCACCCTTGAACGCCATACAGGATAAGTACAGTCGCAACAGCCTCGTGTTGAAAACTACATAAGTGCACTTGCATCAGCCCTTGAGTCGGGTTCGGGTTCCTTACCTCACCAATTACATGGTCTAGGGATCCTAAATCCTCAACCTTGTAAGCCAAAAGCCCTCTAGCCCATAGCCCTGAACCCGCAACCCGAAACCCTTCAAAGCACAGACGTTCGAAGCTTTTCTCAGCGACGCGCTGGGTCTAAGCAAGCTTGTGGTTGGTCGGGGATGAAGGCTATACCCCCCGTAGAACCATGAGAACAAATATTGTTGAGTATTCTCTTGGGTTTTATATGAACAGAAACAAAAACTAATTCGAGACTATAGAAGGAACAAACCTAATGCGATTTCAGGAATACAGGCGAGTCCTTAGACTTCAGGGAGGGCCTCAGGCGCTGAGGTTCGGGGTTCAGGATCCAGGGAATCCGGGCTTGGGCGTGGGTTCGCCCAAATCTGCAGCCCTTAGACCGACAACTCTTAAGCCCAAAACCGCTGATTTACTTACCTCTGGTTAGTAGGGAATGGAGGAATGGGGTACAATTATAACTACTGCTACTACCATTCTCTTAGAATGCATAGAACAAGCTTTTGAATTTTGGAATGTATAAGTGGTGCACAATTGTGGTTCCGCGTAGGATTGCTAAACGTGCAGCATTATTTCATTAGAGTCCCGAAGCCTGAACCAGCCACTGACTTCAAGCCCAAAGCCAACGTCCGACAGCCCGATGTGTTAAAACCGCTGAAAATGGTGAAGGAGACTAGCTAACAGCTAAAGGTCATGGTTTACTCTGGAAACCTTTACAAGAAAGCCTCTGAGTTTGGGCTGTGAGGCTGCCTTCGGTTCCCGTCACCGCTCGTCAATAGGTAGAGTAAGTTCTTACTCCCATTCCGTACATAGGAAGCTGTAACTGTCGCTGCGACTGTCGCTAGCTTGAATCCAAATCAAACTTCCCAAATCCCGAGATTCTTCAAGCCCGAAGCTTTAACCCCAGAAACCACCCCATCGAAACACCGTAGAACCTGTACGCACACCCCAGAAAACCCTAAAAAACCCATTGAAACCGTAGAACCCCCGATTCGGCTCAAGGATTTGAGGCACTGAAGGACGACATAAAGAAACAAGCTGCCCCCTTGTGTGGGAGCTTCCGAAGCATAGGACGTAAGCATTCCGACCCCTAAATTACCTGGCTTGGTGGGCGCCCTTGTAATGAAGAGGCTGCTATGTGCTGCAAGGGTCCCTTATTTAACGCACCTCCCTGTATAGACCCTGAGTGGTGTGACCTTTGATTGAAAGCTGAAAAAACCGCAAGAATGTATCACGGCTGCCCCTACAACAGGGATGTGCAGGGTCCATAACCGAGATGCTCACCTTCATACCCTGTTCTGTCCCAGGGCTCCAGTTCTGTTAACAGTGGGCTGCCTGGGCTACACACAAAATCGAGTCTACTTACTTTCAAGCTTGCATAATGCATTGAATACCCTATACTAGTCGGTTAACTGGAGCCCCAAGGTTGCACTAGGCTAAACTCTCGAGAGCTCGCTTCTTAACGTGTGTTCATGACATGCGTGCAGCACCTGCGTGGTCAAATGCCCAGGAGAGTGAATGAAGTGGTCGACAAGATTTAGGGCCTATAGGGGGTGGGGGAAACGGAGATGCCCCAAGCAAGAGAGCCGGAACCCTGCACCCAAGACCCTGGGCCCAGACCGAGAACCTAAACACGGAATCTCCACCAAGCTAACTGGTGGCTTTTTGTGGGGTCGTCCTTCAGGTGCTGCAGGGTTGTGGTTCAGGGCTTCTCATTTACAGGCCTTCTTTCATGAAACCCCCGCAAAAAGGTGCCTTAATAATTAAAATAGGGTGTTGGGGCCCATTATACTCTAATTGTAGCAAGGATCCCCCCCTCCAAAGAAAAACAAAAAAACAGATGCAACTCTTGAGGCCCCTATAGTATGGAAATGGAGGGCCGCTCAAAACTATTTCGGCGGTCCCTCCGAGCCCGTTGGAGCATCGGGAGGTCAGGCTTGGTCCTCATCATAGAAAGGTTGAGGTAAGCTCTAGGCTTAGGGAGATATGTAGGATATAGTCTAGAGTTGCAGAGTCTTTAAAGAGGGGCACTAGCATACCGTAGAGAAGCTACGCCCACCCACACCCTAAAGCCTCAACATGCCCCAACTTTACAGGGCTCAAACCCTACGCATCATACTAGGTGTCGGTTTCCACGGTCCCCAAAATTATGCATCACTAGGGGCTCCAGAGGAAACTGAGCAAGAAGGGAAGCGAAAACTTGTCCGAAATCGGTACCTAGCACATGAACCGACTCTGCATCTGGCCACGCAGGGAAGCTGGAATTCCTTCCAGCCACAAGCACCCTGGACGTTTACTGGGACCCGTTTCTGCCCACGAATGCTTACCTTTGGCGACTCTAAGACCGATTGCTCCGAATCCGCGAACCCTTCAGGGTCCAGTTCCGGAGTAGATGGGTCAAGGTGCGGCAAGTTTCGGTCACAAGTCCATGTCTGAATCTGCAAATACCGTAACAGCAAGCCGCATAAACTCGAACATCCTGAAACCCCAAACCACAAAGCACTAAGCATGCAGAATAAAGCAAGGGCAAGTTTCGCAGGTCCCAGGTGGACGTCCTCATCAGCAGGCCACGTGCTAACCAAAGCTCCGAACATTAGCCCTCCTCAACGTTTTTCTCCTTGGCTTATGGTATTTAGGGTTTAAAGGTTTAGGCTAGGGATCTAGGGTTCAGGATCTACGGCATAGGATTAAGGTGCAAGCAGGCCCTATACATCTGCATAGCATTGCATCAAGGCCAAAGCATGTGGGTCCTTAGACTGTGCTGAAGGTACCTCAACGGAGTGCGGGAGCTACGGGGCTCTGTGCGGACACGCAGATATTTTGGGAGGGTTCTGTGGCAGATTTTGCATACTAAGAGCTTCGAGTCTATAAGCCCGACGGTTTGATAGAAGGGCGCCTGAGGGCTTTAGAACCATTTCCTAGAGTTGCGGGTGTGGCTTTCACAAGGGCTATATTAACTTAGGATGACTCATACTCCGAGACTCACGAATCCACTCGTAGCCTGCTGGGCTGGGTATGGTGAAATTTGCATGTCATCAACGCTGCAGCAGCTGTCCAGGGGCTCAGCTTCTACATGGCTTCTGTCCATGCAGCATATAGTCGCAATCCCAACACCGTTCTTCAGTTCCAGTGGCAAGGATCTCGGCGTCGGAAAACTCTAGTTGGTCCTACTTGTAGTCGCTGCAAAAGTGCACAATGCCATTCTCCCGAACCCGGTTCCAACTAATAAGGCCGCAGAAATCGTGCTTCATTGAACTCCACAACTACACACACAACTGATCTGGGGAGCTGGGCATTTGAGGCTCCGACAAGTCTTGCGCCGCAATCCTAAACCCTGAGGTCTGTGCGTTTGAGGCCTGGGCCTATGAATGTCGAAAACTTTTCTGAATATGAGAAGTGGTCTCGGATGCTGCTGCTCGACTCCACCGAAACCCTCTGGGGCATCTACGCAAGAGTAAAACAGCAACTTCCAGTGGGTCGAGTCATTCAGGTCACTCTGGTAAACTAGTGCTGCAGTCCCTGGACGGCGCAGGAGTGAAACCTGCCGGCTGAAATTCGTCCTTGCCAGCGATGCAGAGACAGGAAGAAAAGCCAAGAAGCGTCTCCGTCCAGCGAAAAACCTCATGTAACATCACAAACTCACAGAAACTGCGGTTGCTCTGAACTCTGCGGCTCCTGCCGCAGCAACCAGCATTCTATTCTAAACTTCCGACATCTCGTACATCCTCAGAGGCAACTCCAAAGCGAAATCCTGGGGGCCACCACCCTGGGTAGGCTCCAGCAACTGGTTCCCAGGACTGCTACGACGACGACTACTACATCTGACGATGATGATAATGACAATGATGACCACCACCACCACCACCACCACCACCACCACCACCACCACCAAAAAAGACACAAAGAGAGAGAGAGAGAGAGGGGGAACGACCAAAACAAATCATACATACATGCATACAAACATACATATACATGTAGATATATACACACATAAGATATGTATATCTATTCTGAAAATTACACAAACAGCTGGTCATGCCTGTATGGAGAGAGCGCAAGAAAGCCAGAGAGCGAGAAAGCGATGGAGAGATGAGCATAGTGAAAGAGGAAGATTCATAGGGAGGAAGGGAGGGAGCGGGAGAGGGAGGAAGAGAGAGTGATAGATGGAGAGCCGGGAAAGACCCCATGAGAGTTTGCAAGCATGCGGCAAAGGACCAGCAAAGTAAGGATCAACCGCCCCAAATCGTGCCACTCATGCCAAGCATGACATGCACGACGAATTTTGACACAAGCATCTTCGTCCTGGCTACGTGGGCCTGTGACGGTTTAAGATCGGAGAGGTTTAAGCTTGGGCAGTAATTCAGGAACCTGATTAAGAAACCCGGGGCCTATAACCCCAAGAATAGTAGGGCTCATATAAGGAACCCTACTAAAAGCCCAAGGTTTCTTTATCAGATTCCTACACTATTATAGTACCCTTATATGTATAGATCCCTCATGATAACCTTTATAGACCCC